TTTGGTTGGATTGCCATAAGTTCCGCATTTGGCAATAGGTTTCGCACTTCAGTTTCATGAAATCAATCCTCTGTTGGGCAGTCAGTCCGTGCGGATAGACATTCAGCAGATGCTTCCACACGACTTTTCGGAGACTGGGCTCAACGCCGCGCCGGTAGACACCGATCCGCAGCTCGCGGCCACACTTGACGCGGCCCTCGGCGTCCAAACACTTGCGGAACTCATTGTCGTTGAGGGGAACGGCCGCCGAATCGGTCGTCGGTTTCGGTTTAGCGCTGTCCGACGCTCTGGTCATCAATTTCTCGACCTTGAGATATATAAGAAAATATAAGTTTTTTTTCTCACGAAATATGTGCACAACTCGTGCGCCGACGACAAGCGCGTGATATGAAGACCTGGTTTATAAGCGACACAGCGATGGACGTGCATTGGCTGCGCACCACATCCGAGTTGGTGATGATATCCCAATCGGCCAGTGAGTGACTCTTGTGGTCCGTGTGGTCGTCCACCTGAAGGCGTATCTGCAGCGACGGCTGCGAACTGTGCCCATAGGCGTCCTCCAGATCCCTGTCCGACCCGATGGCGCACCACTCGTATGAGTCTCTCCGCAGATAACTCAACGCAAAGTCGCTGCAAATGACAAACGATTGGCGGTTAAAACACTCAGAGGAGACAATGCCTGCCATTGCGCGCAATACCCGTTCAGATTGAAGGCCCGCACCACCAATGAGTGCAACGCCGGTAACGCTGTCATCGATGGGTTCACGCGAAACCTCTGCACCCGTGAGCCACCACTTCCACCACATCCAGCGCCTCCACCACTGCTCTGCTCGGCCTGTAGTCATACAACAAGGCGTACAGTCATCGAGTATATCATATATCGTGTCAATTGTGGTCACAATCCGGTGCACAGTATGTCATTCATGCCCCACACCCCCACCCCCTCCCCTGCACTGCATTCCTGTACTAACTCTACAATGAAGTGATTAATACATAAATCACTATCTTTTAGAGACCATTGGCGCAGATATACTGTGATTGTGGTTATGGTGACAGACAGCGAGTGACACACTTTCGCACCACAAGAGGTGATAATTAAGACAATTGATGGCAAATAATACGCACTTTGAGTACTTCTATACGAATGGCTTCCGGGATATGATAATCAATCAAATGAGACATTATTTGGCCGCCAATTGACCGCACATTCAACACAATTGGGTTTAACTCATGAGAGTCGCGAAGACATGGGATTCACGAGAATCTCATCCGACTATCCATTCACTCAATGAATCAATCAATGAATGCATTACTCAGTGAGCAGTCAATAGTAAACAGATGTTGTGTTTGTCAACAAACTGTATGAATGAAAGCGTACAACAAATACGTGACAGAGATGTGTGGCATTCACCGCCCCTTTCAGCCCTCTATTCACTGAATTAGTGTTAATCTATTGATGAGTACTACACGTGTATTACACACCCATTCATGCACTGCAACATAGCCTATGAACGCATTGTATGAATGAATTTAAAGGGCTATTCAGAGCTGGTGTTTGACAACAGTTTGTGTCCATTCATTGGATTCAATGTTTGGACATTTTAGTCATCATTAGTGCCATGGATTAGATCACAAATAGATAACACATTCCAGTCATACATACATATCATATACTAGTCTCGTATTTGATCTCAAGAGTGGCACCAATTCGTGTGACATATCATTACATAGAATATTCTTGAGGTAAGAATAAGAATCTTAAGCCAATACTAGATCACTAACAACACATCCAATAGGCTATTCGCGTGGACATAACCTCTGCATATCATGCATACCATTGCTGA